GGCCCCGCACGGGCCCGTCGCTCCGCCGAGGAGCAGGCCTCCGGGCCCGCAGACCCCGCTGCCGTTGGGTAGGGCGCAGAGAAGGACCGCGGCACAGCTGCCCGAGCGCCCACCGCTTCGTGTGCGCTGGGACTGGCGTCTCCTAGGGGAGGAAGGCAAAAAAAGGAAGAGAGTGGAGAGGCTCTCAAAGCCCTTTCTCAATGAGCCTAGGAAGGGCAGACTGCCTACCGCCTCCTCTACTCTTCCACTCCCATCAAAACCCTGCTCTCACCCCTTCCTCATACCAGGTTCATGACAGAACATCACAGTGGCCCACAAGACCCTGCATGGTCCTTCCTGCCTCTGTGTCTCTGACCTCCAACTCTAACCCTTCTCCTCTATGTTCATAGGTCTCTAGCTACACCCACCTCCCGATGCACAAGGCAGTCACACTCCAGCCTCAGGGCCTTTGAACTTGCGGTTCTCATTGCTTGGACCGCTCTTCCCTCAGGATACCTGCTTGGCCCACTCCCTTACCTGCTTCAGAGCACCACTCAAATGTTACAGTCTCAGTGACGCCCTCCCTGGCCGGATTTTATAAAAGTGCAATTCTCTCTCCAACTCAAAGGGACACACCCTTATCCCTTTTTCTAATTTTCTTTTCATGGTACATGTCGGTATCTAATATCCTATATATTTTACTTACTTATCTTGTATATTATCTATTTCTCCCGCTAGAATGTCAGCTTCCTGAAGTCAGGGATTTCTTTACTGCTGTATCCCTCTCTCTAGGATATGTGCTAGGATAGCACATGGAAGGGACTAAGAAACAGCAACTTCTGTTTACTGAATGGCTACCATATGCCAAGTTCAGTGCCTTAGGGCAGAGTCAAAACTTACCTATGAAGTAAGTGCTGTTATTAATTCCATTTTAATAGACACAGAAACAAAAGCCCAAAAAGAAGCAACATGCTCAAAATCACAGAAAAAGGGACTGTCACAGCCAGAATTCGAATCCAGGTCGGTCTGACTCAGCTGCTTGTGCTCAAAAGCATCCTCTTACTGTCCATCCCCTGGCTCTCGGGGTCCAACCCCACCCACCTTACCTAGGGACTTGGGCCTCTCGCTGGCATAGATGCCCCGGGGTTCAGAGGGACCCAAGCGTCCATAGGAGCCAGATCCGGAGAAGCCACTGTCCCCACAGAAGGTCGAGGGTGGTGAGTCTGGACCTCCTGTAGAGCTGGGGTCTTCATAGAAGCCTAGATTCCAAAGAAAGGGGGAGAGACAATCAGAGGGGCCTGGAAGGGGAAACCAAGTGTGGGGAAAGGAGATCAAGAGGCAGAGAGAGGAGAGCCTGAGACACAGGAGACAGTGGGAAAAATTGGGATGTCCCAGGCAGACCCCACTACCTGTAACCACGCTCACCTGAGCTGCGCCCGCTCTCCTGTTCCAGGCCTCCAGACTCCAGGCTCAGGTCTCCCAGCTGCTGGCCCAGGTCCCAGATGAGCCCCGGCAAGGCCTCCTGAGGAGATGGGGAGAGCAAGATGGTCAGAAGACACCTCCCCACCCCTGCCCAGTCATCTGCCAACTGGTCCCTTATTCTAGGAGTTCATGGGCAGAGCTTTGCTTTGACAGTGAGGTTCTGATTTTGAAAAGGTAAAAGCAGTACCCTAGTACTGCTTCCAGGATGTGACTCAAGTCCTCTGTTCCTTCACCCTTTAGAAAGTCCTTCTGGCTGTCTAACTCCAGTCCCTCGTGCTGCAGCCACCTCATTCCCTCTTAGGTGTGAGCGATAAGGCTTCGGAAGGCCCTATCCCTTGTTCTCTCCCCATCAGCTGTTCCCTCCATCTGGTGCTCATGGCCTCATAACCCCTATGAGAATGTCCTGCTTTAAGTGTCACTTCAGGTCTTCTTGCTGTAAGGGCAGTTCACTGCTAAAAATTGGTGTTCAGGACTAGCAGATCTCTTAGCCATCCATTGGTCTGCCTTCTCCTGGTCCTTGGTTCTCCCTTCGCAGATGTTCCCATCTCTCCCCTCTGCCCCTTATCATCAAGGGAAGGTCCTTTTGCAAATATCCCACAAGTCTTTCCTGCTACAGACTGACTCTTTCCCTCATTTGGATAAAATAGGCTGACCATAACTCATATAAGTCTTTGTTCCTCCTCTCAAAGAAAGAATCCCCTGGTGCCTACTGGAAAGTCCTTCTTTGAGTCTAGCCTTAGTGGTACTGCAGCAGCGAGCCCCAGGAGGTTCCTTTGCCCCAAGCAGGGATCACATCCTCCTCCTGCCCTTGCTCCATTCCCACCCAGAAGTCCCCAGCGTCTGCCACAGCCCCTCTTTCCCATAAGAAATTTCTCTTGAGTCTACACTGGATCCTTCTTGCTGCAGGAAAAGACCATTTCCTATCAGGTGTGAATAAATGAGGGTGAAAACCCTTTAAGGGGAGTGGCTGGTGGTGGGAGTAGGGGCTGAAACAAGATGGGGTCTCCAAGACACTAGGACTTGGATCCTAGTCTCACATGGATCTGGGTGAGGCCAGAGGTGGCGGCAGCCTCAGGCTGACGGTTGACCCTCAGACAAAAGCGGCTTGTCTGGACGGCAGGCGGCGAGAGGGAGGGAAGGGAGGAAGGGGGAGGGGCTGAGAGGGCAGACGCCCAGCCTTGCCTATTTAGGGCAGAAAGACTGGCCGGCTCCCCCGCAGACACTCCCCCTACCCTCAGCTTCCTACTCCCGTGGCTGCTCTCCTGAGCTCCAGTCCTCACCCCTCCCCCCAGAACAGAAGCCCCCATCTGGGCTTGTTTATGGGAGGAAAGTCAACAAATTCTCCACCCTGAGCGCCTGCCCTGGGTCTACAGAGATGCTCAGGGTGGTTTCATCTTTGAGCAGAGCCCAGGAATGCAGCCAAACTGCAGCATCAGAGGTGGCTAAAAAACATCAAGGGTCACCCATATACCCCACGTCCTGTCCCCCACTAATCCGTGCCCTTGCTCTGCTTTAGCCACATTAGTCTCCTGGCTGTTTGCTGTTTCCTGAACCTTCCGCGCATGCTCCTTCCTCTGTAGGATGTTTCCCGGCATATCCTCTTGGCTCACTCCCTTGCTTCATTCAGATCTTTACATGCTCCCTTCCCTGACCACTCTTTCCAAAATAGCTCTCGATCATTCTGCACTTGGGTTGCCCCGCTTTCTTCCTTACATAGCAGTAATGACCTCCTGACTTAAAAGGACCTATCAGGCTGTCATTTATTTATTATCTTTCTCACTAGAATGTCAGCTCCAGCCCCAGGAGGGCAGAGATTTTTGTCTGTTTTGTACATGGCTGTGCCATCCCTTACCCCCACCCCCACCCCACCCCAGTGCCTAGAAAAGCACCTCGCACAAAGTAGGTGTTCAGGAAGTGTCTGAGGAAGGAAGGAAGGAATACAGTAGAATACAATACAGCGGTTAAAATGGAGTGAGGCAATTTCTATATAGAACCATCGCCAAGATATATCGTCAAGTGGAAAAAGAAAAATGCCAAATGTGTAAGGGTGAGTCAGCACTACCTGGGGGCCGCGTTAAAACCTAAATTACTGGGTCCGGCCTCCAGAGCTTCTGATTCCAGGTAGGAGCCTGAGAATTTGCATTTCTAACAAGTTCCCATGAGATGCTGCTAATCCAGTGGGTCACAATTTGAGAACCACTGCCACAGTCTTTGGAACCTCTTCCAAAAAACTGGAATATGTCAAAAGTAAAACTCTACATTTCTTGGTGTGTAAACTGTTTCTGCAGATAGATGCAGAACTCACACCAGGGTGACAACGGTGTTGATCACAGGGGAGAGTGTGCATTTAGGGGGTCAAGGAGGAATGAGGGGACTAGATGGTAGGATGAAGTGTTTAGGGAGGCCTGGCTTGGAGTCAAATTGTTAAGGGTCACACAGCCACTTCCCAGTTGTGTGACCTTAAGCAGGTGACTTCAACTCTCTGGGCCTCGATTTCCTCATCTGTAACATGGGCATCATTCAACTCCCTCTGCTAAGGGGTTGCTGTGAGGATTAAATGAGTTTAAACAGGAGTTCCTTTTAAGCACTTAATAAATGCTGGCTTTTATCATTACATGAAAGCCACGAATTGCTAACAAGGAAAATAGAAAATCATGTTTTACTTGTGTAATTAAAAATAAATGTAAAAACATGGGTTTTCCGGTAAGTTCTCCTGGTCTAATCTCAGTTCCTCCACTGCAGGGAAGAGCAGGAGTTGGGAAGAGAGACAACAGAGGCCTCCTCCTCCCCTGTGCCTGGAACCCCCAACACCCCTCCAGTCTACACCCCCCCCATTTGTAAGTCTGACCTCATTCCTTCCAGCTGTAAGGGGATGAATCTTTAAAAGACCAGAAGATACTTGGCCTAAATGTGGCTCCCTGCCTACCCACAATGCCCCTCATCCGTTTTTTTTGCAAGCCCTTCTGCAAGTGGGTCTGAGGCCATCCAGCTCAGGCAGGTTTAACATGAATGTGGTTCAGGCTCCTGGAGACCTCTGTGCACAGACTTTCCCAGACCTTTGCTCCCCCCATTCACATACTCCTTGTCTGTATCCATTTCCCTTTATCGCTGTAGGAAGTTCCTCCACATGTCTAACTTAAGTCCTTCTTGCTGATAAGGGACCATTTTCCTTGGTGGAAGAGAACACGATTCCTACCTCATTCAGGATTCTTGCTGCTTTTCTCCGAGATACCCCAATCTTTACCTGCATCCCCATCTTTCCTATTAGAAACTAATCAACTCTGGCTTCAGTCTTTCTTGTTTCAAAGGGAGTGTATTCCTGGGTGGGGCGGGTGGACGAGTGAGAGGGGTAAGCATCACACGACAGAGGCTCAGGGATCAGAGAAGTCCCCCACCCCCTATTCGGAAGGACCCAGGAACCCTCAACACCAGAGGAGTTTATATTTAGCGCTTCTCTGCTCCTCCCTCAGTGGCGCTGTCTCCCTCCCGTTGCCTGCCACCGCCTCCTCCCTGAAGCTGGGACGGAGCTTTGCCTGGAGATTGTGGGGGAAAGAGGCCTCTCCACTACCACCTCATGGCGGGGATATTGAGGACTGGGGGGTAGACAGAGGGGCAGAGAAGGGGAAGACTGAGGCAGAGAGAGGAAGAGGCTGGGGGACAGGGAAGCAGGACACAGCTGGCCCATTCCAGTGCCTTCTCCCTTTCCTCGGAGGGGTGGGAGGTGCCTTCCTAAGCCTGGCCAGCTTGGGGTGGGGTGAGCTGGTGAAGTCCCCCACAATGCGTCTCTAACTTTGGGAGGGGGTGGGGCCTCCCACAGCTGTTTCTGTTTCCAGAGAAGAATGTGCAGGGTCCCTCTCCCGGCCGGGGGGAGGGGCTGGGCATGCAGCCCCAGAGTCTGGCTTCAGCCTTTCTCCCCATTCCCCATCTGGGGAGGGGGCAGTTGAGGTCAGCGGCAGGGAGAGCCCCCTTCCCCCAACCTCGGCTCAGGTTTCCCCAAACGGGAAGCTCTGGCCACACACAGGCTTGGGGATGGGATCAGCCAGTGGAGCCAGGGTCTGGGGCCTGGCAGGCTAGGGGGATGGGAAGAGAGAGGGACAGAGACTTGGGGCAGAATGAGAGAGATGCAGAAATGCAAAGGAAGACCAGGGAGACAGAGGACTGAGAAAGCCAGAGACACACACAGAAAGTCACAGAGCTGTGGCAGTAGGGGGAAAGAATGTAGGAGAAAAGACCCAAGAAGAGGTTGGGAGAATTAAGAAATGACATAGAGAGGGGTGATGCTCCTTAAGTTATTCTGGAGACCTCTGCCTCATCTTCCACCACCAGATCTCCCAGGGAGTCTAGAAGTCAGACTCCCATGCTGCCTCAGTCTGCCACCTCTTGGGTGAGGCCAGGGCTGGGGCCAGGTAGGAAAGGAGGGAAAGTGTCACCAGACGGTCAAGATCACTGTGGGGTCCTAAGGGACCGTGAGTCTCCTCTCAGCAGTAATCCCTCCCTCAGGAGGCCCCAGGATCCCCTCCCCCCACCCCGCCCCCTCCTGAGATCTCCAAGCACACCAGGACTTAGGGAAGACAGGAGCCTTGGTATGGAGGCCCGAAGGGGGAGATGTGTGGATTCCGCTGTGTGACCTTGGGTGAGTCGCTTGCCCTCCCTGAGCCTCAGGTTTTTTCTCTGTGAAATGGGAACTATCACCCTCTAGCCCCCAAGCTGCAATAAGACAACGCCTGCCAAATACTCAGCGCGGGCTTGACACATACTTGGCGCCCAGATGGATTTTCTTTGGGGAAGGGGTGTATGGAATGGGCCTGTACATCACACCAGCGTCTGGCGGAGGCGACGCAGTCCCCTTCCCCAGTTTGGGGGCGGGGAGGCCTGATCCCTCCCGCCGCCCAGACTCTCCAGCCCCACCCCCTCTCCTTTCCCCCGCCTCCCTCCCCCACCCGGACGGGTGTCTGAGCATCCAACCGAGACAGACAGACAGACAGACAGACACAGAGGCGGGCAGAGGGACGGACGGACAGGCGGCCCCTCACCAGCTGCTCTTCCAGAGCCGCAGCGGCCCGGCGCGCCGCCGCCGCATCTTCGTCCTCGTCGGCGTCCTCCTCGTCCTCGGCCTCGGCGCCCCCCATTCCGGGCTGGGCCAGCCGCAGCGCCTGCTGCACGCGGTACTCCTGCCTCTCTCGGAGCCAGTGTAACTCGCAGAGCCCGGCCAGGCTGCCCTCTAGCCAGCCCCGCAGCCTACCCCGCTCGGGGCTCACCGGGAACGAGAAGGCCCGGATCATGGCTGCGGCCCCCCGCCCCAGCCCGGCCGGGCCCCGCGGCCACCCCTCTCCCGGTCC